CCCAGCAGCACTGAGTGTTCACAGGGAGGTCAGTGTGTAGTGTTGGGGGGCACCCCTCGCTGGGCTTTCTGAAGGGAGGACAGTGTACAGACATGACCTGGGGGGGGATGTCACACTGCACTGGTGTATCCCAACAAGAGTTTGAACTGAGCTGAACCATGACCCCAAATTGGAAAACAGGGCTCCAATTCACCAAACCCCAAACTGAACTCAAATATTATTACTTTTGACTCCACTCCGAATCCCACGAATGTTTTCTCTGAAATACCTACCAAACCAGTTTGAGCTACACACAAACATATGTGTTTTCTAAAACCATTGGACCGTAACTTCAAAATAATCTCCCATGCTAGGCAATGTGAGACTCGGTAGACTTTAGTGCGTCCTGTTCATAGCAGCTGCGGCACCCCCATTATGGCCCGTGTCCCTGTCATTCTCTTAGCACAGCAGGATAAATGCTGACAAATGCATGTGTGCAAGAGCTTGATGCAGAAGATAAAGCACTCCGGGCTTTTCCAGCACCTTCTGAAAGAGCAGAAACTTCAGAGGAAAAGAAAAAACTCTTCAACCCTCCGTCACTCTGGAAAATTCTTTGTCCTTTCCCAGGCCTTCTTGCTCCCCCCGCACACCCCTGCTCTGTTTTCTGTCTCCTTTGCTTCTCATCTGAAGTGTCCCCATCCCTGTCTTAGAAAAAGTGAGGACATGGAGATACCCATTTCAGGGACAGGACAACAGAGGCCTTCTTCTCTGGAGATCACAGAGCTGGGGGGTGGCAGAGAAGGAGCTATCCAAGGCTCTGGCTGCTTAGTTCTGCCATTCCATGTTCGCCTTCTGCTAGATTAGAGATCTCTCTTGGGATAGATGCTTGCTTCCACAGCTTCCTAGTGGAGTGGAGTCCATATCTGCCTCTAGGCAGCATGGGACATGCTTGCCCTGTAAGCAGGCCGTCTCCCTCCTCCCCTCCCGACTCATTTGAGAACCTTGCCAACAGAGAGTGAGCATTCCTGTACATTACTATTTGGGCTGCACCATTCAGCACCCCAGGCTTTCAGGGGCTCCTGCCCTGGGCCAGGTCCCCCGCCTGTGTGTGGTGTCTGCCAGAGGAGCTGGCTGCGTGTTGTGTACAGACAAACTACATGTGATCCCCTGAGAGCAACGCCTGTCTCTCTGAGCCACTGAGCATGGAACATTGAGCAGGCTCCCAGGCCTGGCTTCCCGGGGAGCCATTTTCCAGGTCTGCAACAATGTTGAGTTTGATTTGATTTCCCCCTTTGCAGGCGATTGTGTGGTTTGGGGTGTTTTGCTACTAGTTATAATCCCATAAAGCACGACTGCTGAGATTTTTCCAAGAGGGCCGCTTTCAACCACCCTCGTTGAAAAGGTTCTAATTTATTTCAGTCGCTTGTGGGAACCCAGCCTGAACTCAAGACAAAGGCGTCCTGTGTTGATGTAATTGCCCTGCCAGTGTCTCCTTGTGGAGGCTCTGCCATCCAGAGCCACCTTGCTGTCTTCCACGCCTCTCAGAGGGACACAGCCGTCCCCAAGCATAGTGGGGCTCGGGAGCCAGGACTGGCTCCTTGGCTGGCCCATTTCCTGTTCTCACAGGCCTCATTTCTCAGCCAGTCATGTTAGTGTGAATTAATCTGATTGTTCCTCTTTTGGTTTTATATGGAGCCAAGTCCTGCCCACTGAGGGGGTAACACTTTGGGTGAAAAGATTGATGAAGAGGGAATTCCAGCTAAATAGAACTTAGGCAAGGGTGGACCTGTTGGAATGTAAGACTAGAGGGATCTGTTTCCCAGCTGAACACAGGGATTGCTGATTTGCGTAGTTTAGATGGCCGGCTTGCTCTGGGCACACCTCTGTCTGCCTCCCAAGTGCTGGGGCACAGACAGGATGCTATGCCTACCTAGCGTTACGTGCCTGTTGGGGAGCTGAACTCGGGTCCATGAAGTAAGTGCTTCAAGCTGCTGAGATTGGTCAGCCCCTCCCCTCCACCCGTCACCCCTGACTCTAAAGTCTAAAGCCGTATCTCAGTGCCAGGGAGGTGTGTGAGGAGTTTTCAATGCTTGGGAGACCAGAGATGCATTCCCCAGCACTCCAGTGGTGTTCTGCTGGAGTTGGCTGTGACTGCTTCCCAGTGGGGAATCCCAGGCAGCCTATGAAGCTGACTGCATTCAAGGCCCTGCATCCTATGACTCTCGCAAGGTATTTCCACAGAGCCGCAGGGGTCATTTATTTCTGGGTAAGAGGAAGTTGCATGGCAGGAAGCGTTAGCGTAGATGGTGCCTGTCAGCCATGGGCTCACCCCTACCTAGTTCAGCCTTCCCTCAGAGGCACCTGTGGAGGTTCACAGAGTCGGGAGCCCCAAGTTGTGCAAAGTAGAATCCCTCCTCTCACCTTTGATTCTTGGAGGTTAGGGATGGAGCACTGGTATTCTGGGGACCCAAGAAGCCAGAAGAGTCACTTTGATAATTGAACTCCTAGGGGTCATGGCTCTTGACATGTCCATCTGGCTGGCCAGCGTGTGTGTGTGTGTGTGTGTGTGTGTGTGTGTGTGTGTGTGTATAAATGTATGGTTGCTTGTGCACGTTAAGTCAGAGGTCAACTCCAGGGCTTACTCCTCAGGAAGCATCCTCCACGAGATGCAGGAATCATTCCTCAGGGTGACAGAGAGTGGCATTTTAGTAGAGATGAATGTACCCAAGGGGAATGGTGACATTCGAAAATGTGGCCTCTCTGGCAGCATTTCACAGAAGCAGCTGCTTGAGTTCTTCTGGGATCTGAGTTGGAGAGTCTCCCAGGACCACGAGATGACCCTGAGATACCCCGATTGAGGGGTGTTGGTGGCAGTAAGCGCAAGGCACCCCCTTTCAGATGCATTTTTCTCCTGGGTGAACTCAGACACCACGTTCCACAGCCTGCTAATTTCTTCAAATTTAAGACAATTCGAGGAAGCAACAGTTTTTCTCTGCTCCCAGCTCATCCCTTTATGGCTCGCATTGCCTGTTAGTAGCAAGTCTAGCCCTCTAGCCTTTTCCATGTTTTCATAACATGCATGAGAGTTTTCATTTTCACATGCATGGTACTATGGACTCCACTCTTGCTGCTTGTGATTTGTTGTGTTACTCCTGGTTTCCGAGGCCTTTTCCAAATTCATGGCGAGTTTGTGTAGTCTTTCCCTCGTCACAAACAGCTCTTTAGAAAACACCTCTCTGTGAGCTCAGTGTCCTAGTTAAGGTTTATATTGCTATGAAGAGACACCATGACCTTGGCAACTCTTACAATGAAAATATTTAATTGCAGGGGGGTCCCTTACAGTTTCAGAGGTTCAGTCCATTATCATCACGGAGGGAAGTGTGACGGCATGCAGGCAGACAAGGTGCTGGAGCTGAGGGTCCGCCATCTTGCAGGCAACAGGAAGTCGACTGAGACATTGGACATAAGAATCCTCAAAGCCCCTATGGTGACATTCTTCCCCCAACAAGGCCACACCTCCCAATAGTGCCAATTGGGGGTCAATTACATTCAAATCTCCACATTCAGCTAGATGTTTTTCTGTCTGTTTTTTCCTTTTTTTTTTTTTTTTTTTGGTTGTGTGATATGCACGGATATGTATGCATGTTTTTGCATGTGTGAGACAGTGCATATGTGTGTTCAGACATGTGGAGACCTCATTTGCTCTTCCTTGTTATCCTCTGAGGCAGGTCTCTCAGTCAAGCCCAGAGCTTGCAGATTTGCCTGGTCTTGCTGGGCATTGGGCTCTTCCGTCTCGGCCATGACATGAGTCCTTATGCTTATTTTGCATTTGCATGGATTCTGGAGGCCTGAGCTCCGTGGCAAGCACTGTGATCACTGAGCCACCTCCCCAGCCCTCCTCCCCCCTCATTTTGGCATGAGGAGATCAAGTCCAGTGTACAGGCCCCTTGGCAAGAGGCTGCTGGGACATGTGGCTCCTACAGATCGTCTGGTCCCAGGCTGATGCACTTTCCATGTGTTTCTGCGTGGGGGCCTTCACTCTGGGGATCAGGTCTGGCTGCAGAGTCTGAGGTGGGACTGGGAGACTGTATTTCTAGTGAGCTCCAAGGGAGCTCAGGGTGCTGGTTTGTATTGTGTTTTGAGGGTTGTGAATCGAGTGTGTATCCCAGGCTTGTTAAAGGCAGAGAGGGGAAGTAAGAGGGGGCAGTGTCTCTACCTCTCACCTGGTAGGGATTTTGATCATGGACATGACAAGCATGCCAAGTAGATGTGCTCCCAGCCCCTGCTGCTCCCTGGTGGAGAAAGGCCCCACACGATTGGTTAGCTGGGAAGCCTGAGACTGTAGGGGAGGCTGACTGGTCCATGGCATCCACGAGCCAGGGCTAAGCCAGAGGCTTTGAATCCCAAACACATACTGATTGCAACTGGTTCTGGGTCCTGGATCAGAGCCTTGTCTGGTGCCTTCTCCCATGTCTCACAACTAAACCCTCAGGGCAGTGGACAGAGAAGATGGTGAGCCTTGAACAGTGAAGATGCTGGGCATGGCCCTTCTGTGGCCAGGTTCTCTGGGTTTGGGCATTTCTGGTTGTGTTCCCTTGCCAGGCTCCATCATGGCAGGAGGGTGCTCACAGGCTCAGTGGTCAACTCCCTCACCCTTGTCTGCTGGCACCTCCCTGCAGTCCCAGACACAGAACTTCCACTCACTCATTCATCCACCTAGAAACCATCTCCCGTAAGGTCAGGGGATGCTGGTCCATGTGGCACATTTGGAGTGGTAAGCTTTATATTCCTATTTGTTTATTTATTTGGTTTAGGTTTTTTTTGAGACAGGGTTTCTCTGTGTATCCCTAGCTGTCCTGGAACTCACTCTGTAGACCAGGCTGGCCTCAAACTCTGAGAGATCCGCCTGCCTCTGCCTCCTGAGTGCTGGGATTAAAGGTGTGTGCCACCATCGCCCGGCTCCTTTTCCTTTCCCCTTTTCTTCTAAAAACAGGTTTTTCCTGATCATATTAACAAGAGATTTAGTCAAAGACACCGGAGCCCACATCATCATCAGACTCCTCAGATTCTTCCTCCTTTGCTCCCACTTTCTTCTCCTCATCTGGGGCAGCAGCGATGGAGGGGGCAGGACGGCCTGCTGGTGCAGTCCAGCTCCTGGGGCCGGCTCACCTCCACCACGTTGCAGAGGAGGTTCCCAGTGTTGACACTGGCCAGGGCCTTGGCAACAAGCCAGGGAGAAAGGTTCAACATGGACACCAGCTGCTTTCCTGAGGGCATTGTCTCATTATCATCGTGCAGAGTGAGGGTGGAGTAGATACAGTAGACGGAGGCCATGTTGCAGAATGCCAGCATGGTGCCAGACTCCAGATGATGTGAGGGCCTTACCCCAACTCGGCCTTCGCTTCCTCAGAAGGGGAAGGATAGAGCGCTTGGAGGCAGCTGAAGAAAGTTGCAGCCTTATATCTTTACAGCTGTGGCCATACTGCAGTGGTAGAGACACGGGCCCAGGATAGCTGTGAGTGCATCCGACACAAGATTGTGAGATTTAACATAAAGATTTATTATTATTATTTTCAGTTTCTGCCTGTGTGTGACTATGTGTAGATATACATATGTGATCACAGTGCCAGAGGAAGTCAGAGCCATCAGAACCCCTAGAGCTGTGTTCCAGGTGGCTGTGGGCTACTTGATGTGGGTGCTGGGAACTGAACTTGGGTCCTTGGGAAGAGCAGTTGTAATTGTTTCTTCTCTTCATTCCTTTGCTCTTCCGGCTCTTTGATCTTTGGGGGCACCACCCAGCTCCCAAATAAATCACATATGGAGTCTTATCTTTTCTTATGAATGTTGGCCTTAGCTTGGCTTGTTTCTAGCCAGCTTTTCTTAACACAAATTATCCCCGACTACCTTTTGCCTCTGGGCTTTTTCCTCTTCTTCTGCGCATCTTACTTCCACTCTTACTCCGTGTCTCGCTGGCCCACGATGCCCTCTTTTTATTATATCTTGCTTCTTCTTCCCCCCTTTTCTTGTTTCTCCTCTTCCCATATTTCTCCTCCTGTTCACTCACTGTCTCTGCATGCCAGCCCGGCCTACCCTTTCTCCTGCCTCACTCCTGGACGGTCAGCTCTTCATTAGACCATCAGGGGATTTAGACAGGCGAAGAATCACAGCTTCACAGCAGTTAAACAAATGCAACATAGAAGAATGCAACACATCTTTGCATCCATCATTGAAACAAATGTTCCATAGCATAAACAAATGCAACACACCTTAAAATAGTATCCCACAATAAGCAGTGCATTTTAAACTACTTAGTTATCTCTTCTGCGTGATTTCTTCCTTCCTTCCTTCCTTCCTTCCTTCCTTCCTTCCTTCCTTCCTTTCTTCTTGTAACTTTATTTCATGGTTTTTAAGCACGGAATTTGTGGATGACAATACCATGTAGTGATTCCAGGAGGTGGGGCATATCTGTTAGAACAAAGCCTTGATTACGGCTTTGAGGTTGGAAAACAAAAGCTACATTTGAGGTCTTCCATGAAGGAACCATGAAGGACACACATGTGTCCATGCACACAGGTCAGGAGCACGGGTCAGGAGAGAGGAGGCAGAGAGAAGGAAATAAAGACGGTGGCTCATGCGATGGAGGGAAAACACACTGAAGACCGTGGAAACGGGAAGTGGAAAATGACAGGGGGTACTCCATGGGACGGAGGGACAGAACACGGTGGAAAAGGAAGACAGACGAAGGAACAGAGGTGGGGGTGGGGAGCAATGGGAAGAACAGAGGAAGAAACTGGAAGCTTCCTGCTGTGACCCAGGCAAGGGTGAGTGTGGGGACCTCAGGAGGTGGCCCTGTCCCCAGCTTTCAATGGGCTTGTTTTTGAAAACAAGCCCCTCTCCTCCATCACTAGACTCTGACCCAGAAGCAGCTCTGGAGCAGAAGGCGGAAGCCCCTCCCAGCTCATCAGACTGTAATGGGGGTGAGGAGGGCGCTGGAGCTACCGGCTGATTGGCCATTAGTCATACCACACATTGCATTTCCTAATGAGAAAATGATGCAAAATTGCCTCAAGGGATGGTTGTGATTAAACTATTTGCCTCGACTTCCTCTGCCATATTGAACGTGTACATGTGTGTGCTCACACAAACACATGCACACAATCACCCCTCACTACTCACCTCCGACCCTAGAACAGCCTCTGGGTTCCAGAGTGCTTAGCTCCAGCCTTCACTGTGTGCCTTTCTCTCTGTAGCTCAGATGTGGCTGTCCTGAGAGGGGAGAGGGGAATCCCCAGGGGGTGGGCATAGCAAGCCCTGCCAATCAGCCCCTCCCCCTGGGATGTCCTCATAGCCTACATTTTGCAGGGGACTGTAAATGACTGGGAATTTCAGGCCATTAAATGCTGCCTCTTAAGTCAAACATGTTTATTCCCAGGCAAGAATCTGGAGTTCTTTCCAGATCCTTCTATACTCTGCCGTGAAACTCCTATTTTATTTGGCCATCCTCTGCACTGGAGCAAGGCATTGGGATGCAGTCCCTTTTTGCTACGAGAGGAGGTTGAAGCGTATTTTGAAAGAGAACCAAAGTGTACTATTTAAGTGAATATTCTTAGGAACTGGAAAGTTCTCATGTAGAATTCATATGTGCAAAGGACTCTGAGGGTGCATGGTCCTGATTATAAGAACATTAACATACTGCCTCCCTCAATTCTCTCCCAATTTTAGCCATACTCCATCCAGTCTACTGCAAATGGTCCCGTCCCTGGGCTCTTCCTCTTGGCCATCATCTCAATCATAATTCACTCTCCTAATTCTGTCCCCCATCCCTTTCTCTCTAGTTACTGCAATCTCCCAAACGTTTGCCGGGCACCCATCAGTCAGCTTTTGCTTGGTTATGTTATCAAACTGCTCTAACAACTCTGGCCGAGACACTGTGCCCTATTCTGGGCTCTGGGCTGAGGAGTAGCTCTCGTCTCTCATCTGGCAGAGGGGAAAAGAAAGATGATTGTGCTAGAATACATGGCTTGAAAGTCTCTGCTCAGAAGTGATGCATGTGGCTACCCATCTCTGCAACCAGCTGCCCAAAGCAGGTCACCTGGATGAAGGGAGGGGGGGAGGAATAATGCTCTTCCCGAAAGTTCCATGACAAGCCCCTCCCGGGTGCATGCTATTTGTGTGTCCCGAGCATCCACGTGTTCTGAACATCCTCATGTCCCGAGCATCTATGTGTCCCGAGCATCCATGCTTAGACTCAGGGCTGTTGGGCATTTAGAGCAGTTTGGTGTCTGCTCATAGCCTGGACCCAAATCCTCTTCCTACAACCATTAGAGGCTTGTAATTACCATTCCTATGCCCCTGTACTGGCTGGTTGTGTGTCAACTTGATACAAACTAGAGTCATTAGAGAGGAAGGAGCCTCTGCTGAGGAAATGCCTCTATGAGATCCAGCTGTAAGGCATTTTCTCAATTAGTGGGAGGACCCAAGCCATGGTGGGTGGTGCCATCCCTGGGCTGCTGACCCTGGGGTTCTGGTGGAAGCTTCACCATCCATACGCCCAAAGAGTCTGGGATGTTAAGGTGAAAGTTCCTCCCAAACTCCCACCCCATCTCCTTCCAAACCCTGCTGCATCTCAGAAAGCCCACCAAATGATGGCCCCTCCCCTAGAGATGCTCAGGACCTCTCCTACAGGGTATTTAAACTGCCTCCCAGAAACTAGACTTGTGGTTTTTCTGGTCTCCCTTTCCCATCTCCTCTCTAGGGGACTGGAAGGTTACCTGGGAGCATTGTAACCATTAAATGTGGGCTTTTACTAATTTGGTTTGATTTGGTCTGATATGGATTATTGCATCAGCAAAGAGGCGAGCTTGCAGCTTGCCACAGGGCAAAGAACTGTTCCGTTGATGACTGAAACCATGATGGGTCAACACAGAGCAAACACCATTGATTACCATCCAGAACCACCCAGAAGTAGAATTACATCCCAGGTTGCTCTCCTCACTCTCTCTCAAAGAGATCCAACACCTGTGTTTCCATGTATTGGGGATGCTGTTGGCCCGAAGTTGGGCTGGAAAGAAATGGAATGTGGCCTCCTGCTTTCTTTGTCTTGACACATGAGTCCGAAGGTGGACGGTGTACCTAGGAGGGCAGGGGCAGGACAGGAGCTGGCTGCACTGGGCAGAGGCGTGCCTACGGGCAGGTGTGAGGACCAGGCTGTGCTTTACGCTGCAGGCTTGCTGGCAGCGAGGGATGGCAGTCCCTGTCTGCCCCGGTCAGGGCTTCATTGTCACGGCAGCGTGCGCATGTGTGAGCTCTCCCATACGGAGCCCTCTCTGACCTATGGAAGGCTGCTTTGCTGTGTGTCTTCCTAATAAATCCCCGCTGTCCCTGAGAAGGCTGCTGTGAATGCGAGGAGAGCTTGTCAAGTGACCCCCCAGTTAGGGCCCGAGTCAAAGCTGTGTGTGTTTTTGTAACCAGAAGGCTGTGTGTTTCTTAGCTACTGGTCAGACTGGACGAGACTGCCAAGGAGCCTTCAGAGAATTTCCTCACCATGTAACAAATTTATGAGTCATATGAAAAGCTGGGAAACGCTTCAACCAGCTGCCTCTCATTGGCTCAGAAGCCGTTTTACAGCTCCTTGGTGCTGGGGCCTTGGATGGAGCTGTCGAGCTGCCACGGGGGAAGGCAACAAGGACATCTGTAGAGCCCTCACTAGGTCCCCTAAAGGACAGATGGAGGGGGGTGGTGTTTGGTGGGGATGGCTCAGACGTCAAGAGCACAGGCTGCTTTCCCAGAGGGCCTGGGTTTGATTTCCAGCACCCATGTGGTGGCTCACAACTGTCTGTAACTCCATTTCAAGGGGATCCAACAGCCTTCTGGCCTCCTTGGGCACCAGGCACACACATGCACTCAGGCCAAACACCCATACATGTAAAAGAAGTGGTTAATTTTCACTATCAATTTGACTGGATTTAGGGTCACCATAGAAACATACCTTTGAGTGTGTTCAAGCCAGGTGTTTAGAGAAAGGATTAACGGAGGAGGGAAGACCCAGCCTGAAGGTGCAAACATGGGGGGGGGGCTGAAAGGAAAGACGAGGCGAGCCGAGCACCCGCATTACCCCTCCCCCCCTGACTACAGATGTAGTATGAGCAGATACAGTGTGAGCAGATGCTTTACCTTCCCACTCTGATGGGCTCTCAGACCGAGAGCTCCAATAAAACACTGCCACATAAGAAGTATTACCATGTCATTTGGGGTAGGGACTAGGCCCTCCATCCTGCCTCTAAGCTAAGGGAGTATCCCTCTATGGCGAATGTGCTCCCAAAGTCCTTTTGTGC